TTGTAAAGACAAGATAGCCACAGTAGAACACATTCTACTATCTTGTATTGGTCATAAAAAATCACAAATTGAGAAACATGACCATATTGGCATTATCATATGGGAGGGGTTAATAAGAAAATACACAGGAAATAAACAATACAAGAAACCCCCATATGAAACAGTGTTCCAATACAATGACATCACTATGATATGGAACAAACAAATAATGCCAAAAAGTGATGGACTATATCATAAAAGACCAGACATATATGTACTAGATAAAAAGAATAAAACTGGTCTAATATTTGATATGAATATTGTGGCAGATCATAATATTAATGGAGCCTATTGGAAGAAAAGAAATATGTATAAGGAATTGAAAAATAGGGTAATGAAAATAGAGAAATTAAAAGATGTCAAAATAATTCCAGTAGTAATTTCGATTAATGGGCTAGTAAATGCGGAAAGTATTAAATTAATCAAACAATTAAAAATCGAAATTGACATCACTAAAGAAATTAAAAACCTTGTAATTAAAAACATGATGGACGTCATGGAACACTGTGGAGATCACAACCAGACATATGTAGTTGAACTACAAGACGAAGGTTCAGGGACGGGATTAGTCTCCTCTGAGCCAGGAACAATAGACACAAGTTCTATTAATACTTAATTAACTTCTTTATTATTTAATAATATAATAATAAAATATGATAAAAGATAATAAATATAATAATAATAAATGAATAATCAATATATTTATAATAAAAGATAATATAATTAATGGTATAATTAATGATAAATAGTTATGAAATCATTTATTCTATTATCTTTTATTTTTATTCTTTTCATCTTTTTCTTCTTCATAATTTCACTTTTTTCTTTCATACCCTTCTTTTTCATCATTTCTATTCTATCTCTTATTTCCTTTTTAAAGAATTATTCTTGTTTTATTAATAAATGAATCCATTGATTTATTTTGATTTGTTTATGATGTAATAAGAGAGTAAATAACAATATTTTTAAGTAATATCTTTTTTACATACTCATTTAGTTCCTGTTTGTGTTATTACAGTATTTCTTTTATATGAGTTTTTCCTTTGAAAATTTAAAACATATTTAAGTAATTAATAAAAATATATTATAAACAAAAGCACTATTCATTGTTCAATGTCGATGATAGGCATTTCTTTGGTTTTAATTGAAAGTCAATTACTTCTATGAAATATATCACAACAAATAGAATATTTAGTAAACATCATATTCTAAATTGATAACTAAAAACAACAAAATAATCATACAACAATATATGAAAGATTTACTTATTTTATTACATCATCAGATGAGATTAGTGATTTGTTGAAATATTACACTGAGTACCAATAAGAATATAGTTATGATATTCTCTAACAGTAAACAAGTATATGAAATAACATAAAACCCAATAAAACCCAATAAAACCCAATAAAAACATTAACAAATAATTTAGAATCAAGACTCATTAATAATAAATTAACATTAAGAAATTGTGATAATGATTCTGAAATAATGAAAATATTGTATCTATTAACAAAACTGTTCATACAATAATGACAATCATTTATTTCAATTCATTGAAACATATATGAAAATATAACTAATTCATAGTATTTCAAATACAATTTTGTCATAATAAATATTATAACATTTAATTAAATTACAATAAATATACTCTTTAATGATTAAAAATTATGTATAAATTCAAATAATAATAAAATAGTTACAATGATATAAATAACTGATTAATAATAATGTTTGAATATCTTTTATGTTTGTACATAATTCATTGATATTTGTTAATGTCTTAAATAATCCATCACTAATAGTTTTATTAACTTAATTAATTAGAACAGTTATATTGATGAAACTTCTAATTAGTCATGAGTTATTGTAATTGTTTATTTTATGATTTTTTAAACAACACAAGTTGTTCATGAAAATCTTTCACTTACTTAATACTTATTGAATTGTTGGTATTTGTATTTAGTTGTTTGTACCTTTGTTTTATTAGAATGGACTTTTGATTCTTCTTTTGTTTTTTTATTAATTTAATCTTTTCCTACTATGTTTATCTACTCAATAATTCAAAAAAACAGTTCTACACTGTATATCATTTATTGTACTGTTTTATCATGATTTACATTATCAATACATTTATTGTATTAATATAATTGCACTATTCAAAGGGGTTGACTTTCATTTTAAGTCTTTCATAATTAAAAAAGTATCAATAAGTAACTTGAATCTCCTTCTTTTAAGTTCAGTTTGCTTGTGTATTTCTCTTTAAGAAATAGAAATATAACTAAAATAAGAATGAAAATATAGATTTGTGTTAATATATGTTTCATATAATAGTTAATGTTTTATAATGTCAAGAATATATTCAAAACTAATCAATTTCAAATTATAATATCATAAACTATGTTTGTTTGAATTAATAACAAAATACTTTATTTTTATAAGATGAGTAGTATTTAATTCTTTAATACAATTTCTTGTTGTATTTTCTTAATGGTTGTAAACAATAATACATCATGTTCATATTTTTATCACTGAGACTTTACTATTCATAATGACAAATATATAAAAGAAACAACTATTAAAAAGAATTAAATATTAAACATGATAATACTAAAAAGATAACGAGTTACTAGTTTATTACTATTCTTCAATAAAATAAACTAAAAACAAAAGTTTATTGATTCTAATAAATGTTTAATCAATGTTTATCATACACTTTCATTATTTATTATATTAAATATCCCATTTCATTATTTCTATTTGAATCTTAATGATAATTATTATATGTTCTTATTCTTTGATTAAGTATTTATATTTCATATCCTAATATCAATATTCAATTAAATATCCTATTTTCTTTTCTTCTATAGTTGATAAACAAACACTTATTTATTTTGTTTTCAACCTTCTTTTTATTTATAACTATAACACTTTGAATCTAGTTATTTTGTTTTTTTCCCACACACTCAATTAACTTAGATATTCCTTCTATCCTTTACTTCTTAATTGTGTTATATATTTTGCATTGATTTGATCTTATGGTTTCTTGTAATGTTATTGTTTATTTCAGTTGCTTCAAATTCCTCAGTACTTCACATTAGTCAATAATTAAAATAAATAAAGTTTTGGTGAATTGAATTAACAAGTAAATAAGAGATAATTTAGTTGTAACCATAATTTCAATCCAACTATTTATTTCATTAAAACAACTAAATAAAAAAGAACGAAATGATATGTGTTTGTAGTTAAAATGAGATGTCAGAACAAAGTTAAATCAGTAAAAATATCTAAACAATAGGAATAACCTCTCTTCAATATTGGGTTATTTATCAATGATTTTTTGAAACTTATTAAAAAAAAACATAAACAAAGAATCATAAATAATACATTTAAAAATTAGATATAACAAGAGATAACTTTATTATATTTTATTTTTCCTTTTCATTTTAGGAAAACTTGAAAATTTTAAAAGATATTGTTTTGTTATGGTAAAGTTAGAAATGGTATATCTGATGAATGTTAGTCTTTACTTTACAACATTTCAAACATTTCAAAGGTTTGTTCAAGTGAATAAAAAATGTAAAAGAGCTATTTGTTCATTAAGATATTCACAATGGTACAATGAAGGTTCAAATAAAATATTTCATTCATGTGAAACATTAGAAATAAAGACATTTAAAGATTCTAATGATGTTATTAAACATATTCCATCTAATATTCAAAGAATAATATTTAGTGAATCACCAGATTTAGATATTGTTAATATTCAAATACTTAAATTTGTAGTTAATGGAAATGGATTTATACAAAATATAAAAGAATTATTCCAATTAGAATGTTTTACATTTAAAATTGTTTATAATTTTGTTAATTTAGATGAAATAGAAGATAAAATTTTAAAATATCCTTGGAATGACCTTCTTTCATTACCAAATTTAAAAAGAATTATTATTAAATGTTCTTATTGTTCTACACCATTCTTTGTTAATATTGAAAAAATTCATCAATTCAACTCAATGGTACTGAGAATCACAAAGTTATTAAGTTTAAATAAACAAATATTAATTGAACTCCAAATGGAAAATCTTGATGATTATTGTGTTAACGAATTCAAAAAGAATAACCAAATTATTCTCTCTTACACTGGACCACTCTCTTCAAAAATTACTCACTCAATTCTTACTAAACAAGTGATATTAAAAACATCATATAAAGAGCTTACATTTGGATTAGAACATATTTCAGATAGTTCAATAATAAAAATTTGTCAAATGTATTTACCAAAAACAATTCATGTTAGACCATTTACTATTTCAACAAATTATCAACAACCATTATTTCCTAATCAATCTCAAAGTAGTTCTGAAGATAATAATACACAAGGAATATATTCTTTAAATGAATTAACATCAATACAAAATATAGATATTCTTATATCTCAATCTATTTCTTTTGAATTACCTATTTCAATTTTACATCTTATAACAAATGTTCCAATATCTAATTTAGATAAATTAAACCTAATTTCATTAGATATAAAAACAGAAGAACAAGAATTTCATTTTCCTTCAACACTTACTTCATTAAAAATTACTCATTCTCCTTTAATTTCTATTAATAATCTATCCTTATTAAAAACTCTAAATTGTTTTGATTGTTCATCATTAGAATATATAAATAATTTACCTAACTTAGTATCTTTATCATTGATGAATTGTAATAATCTAACAAAATTAGAAATTAATTCTCCACTTTACTGTCTTACTTTACTTCAACTTGGATTAACCTCTATTACAATCCCATCAACTATAATAAAGATGGTAATTGATACTCAAATTAAAATATTAAATTCAAATAATATAAATATAAAAAATTCATATGAAATATTTAATTACTATCATTGACTCTACAAATTGTATTTTCACTTAAACAATAACAAACTGTCTTTATTATTATAATTAATGGGTTCGTTGTATTCTATTTGGTTTAGTATATTCTTTTATTATTTTATCTTTTTGTTTTTCTTTAGAATTTTGTCCTAATCTTCTTGAAAGATTAGTAATTACTTCTTTTGGAGAAGTAGTAGATAATTCATGTTCTTTTTCTTCTATTTTCTTTTTAGCAAGTTCATCATTTATATGTCTCAATATTTCTTGAATTTTTGATTTATCTACAATAGTGTTTTGAGATAATTGTTGATTTATTTGAACTTTATCTAATATTTGTTTATTATTATTACTAAAGAAATTAGAAGAAAACATTTTATAATGATTTAATGGTGTCATTAATATATCAATTTGATGTGGAGAATATTGAATTGATTTACAATTAAATTGAATTGAATCATCTGAATATGATGATATATTTTTTAATGCATTAAGATGATCTTGAAGTTTATAATATTCAACAAAAAAGATTTTACCACTTGAAGACCCCCAAATACTATAAATTTCTCCAAACTTTTGAAATAACTTAATGAAATAACTCAAATCTATTTTATGATGAGTCATTTTGCAACAAATTGCTAAATTACAATTTAATAATATTCCACGAGGATTATTAATTGAATATAAAGGAAGACTATATTCAACAACAATATTCATTTCATCGATTATTTGTCCATCTAAACAATTTTTTGCCCATTCTGCTTCTCTCAAATCATTCTTTTCAATCAACACTAATCATTTTAGTTATATATAAATTAAACAAACGTATGTAATTTGAATTGTCCCATTCTTTTGGATATTATTAATTAAATCAACAACTACTCCATATTGCATAAGTTTTCGACAAAAGTCATCATATTTATTATTTTTATTAATATTACTAATTAACAAACAATGTGAAGGTCGAAAATAAAATGAAGGTGGATTTATTACTTTTTTCATCTCTTTATTAATAAATCTAGTTTTATATATGTTTATAATAAAATAAATTATAAAAAAATCAAAAACTTATATTGTTTAACATGTCTTTATTTTTTTATTCATAAAAACCTTATTCTAACAAAATCCAATTTATTTCAATACTTTTGATAGAAATTGTTTGGATTTAATTTGAGTTAGTAATAGTAGTCTTTGAGTATTCAAGATTATTTTATTTTAAAAACATAAAAATACATGATTATAAGTGCTTTATTTCAATAACAAATCCTTATCAAGAGTCTAACCAATAAAAATAATCTCTTATTTAATAAAGATATAAAATTAAATATTAATAATTTGTATTATTTTGAATTGATTGTTTTGAATAAGAAATAAAACTTTTCTTTTCTTTTTATTTGATTAATTAAATAAAAAAGAATAACCAAAATAAGAAAATAAAAGGAAATTACTATAAAATAGGTACAAAAATATTAATTATTACATTATTTTTATTATATTATCATTTAACAATCAGCACAACTTCGTATTGAACTTGGGATACGTACTAAGAATGATGTGATATAAGGAGATTTTTTTGGTTTAACAGAAATTTTTGAACGAATTCGATTAAGTTGATCATCACTAATTAATGGAGTTGGTTTTTCTAACAATGTTAATGGAGATACACTAGAGATAGGATTTTCCCACCTATCAAAAACATGAAAATATTTATGTAATTTATCTAACCTATATGTACGTGGGTATGTCATATCTTCGATACGTATAACTGAATCATCTTTTACTACTGAATACCACCAACGAATACTTCTTGGTCTAACTACTGTAACAGTTCCCATCCAAATATGACCTGGCATCCAAGTTAATTTTCTACAAGTTGAATCATCAAGATTAAGAAATAATTCTTCACCAAAATTAGTTTTATAATGAATGCTGAATGAAATGGTAATGGCGGTATTCATTATTAAATTAATTTCTTCTATTTGTATTTCTCAGATGATACCCTTTTATGAGATATAACCATTCCGTACCATATTATTCAAAGCACTTTATTTTGTTATTTTTTATTTCTCATATTTACTACTCGGAGATATTTTGTCTTAATACTTAAATACCCTTTTCTTCACAACATTTTCACTTTCAAAGAGTTGTTCTGACTTTTTATTTATTAATAAAGGTCTCTTGAATATTTCTTTCTATCTTTTGTATTAATCTTTCTGAATTATCATTCTATTGAATAATATCATTATTATTATAATTCTTACCAATCTTATCCAAAAAAAAATATGACTTTCTCCAAAAATATAAATTTTTATTTTTTATTTTTTTTGAAATTAAAACAAAAATGAAAAAGAAAAAAGTTTTAATTTTTATTAATTTTTAGGTTCACTGGCAACACATTAGAAGAGGAACCTTCTAATTCTCATATGTTAGAAATGAACTCTATTGTAGAAATAGACCATATTGAAGAAACTGAAACAATCACTTCTCAATATTCATAAAATCCAATTGTGGATATATCTATTATTTGTTATTTTTTTTTTTTTTTTAATAATTTTTAGGTTTGAATAAAGATGCAATAACTTTCTTAATAAAATTGAAATATGACGTAGACATTGTTGAAGTATAAATGAGAAAACCATTATTATTATTTTATAAAAATATTTAAATAACATAAAATGAAATAACAAAAAGAAGAAAAAGATTAATTATTTGATGGTAAAGATTGTTTTGGTAAATGTAAAGGAATGAAAGGAATACCATCTCCAATATAAAATTTATTTTGGAATTCAATCCAATGAAGTCTTAATGTATGTAAGAATGAAGATAATGATTCCATACCAATAAGAATTGCTAATGTAATCATAGCCCAAATAGCAAATCCAACAAAAATTGTAATAAAAGTATTCATTTTCATTAATAAATAAAAAACATTTTCCAAAAAGACTGAACCTAATTGAGCATGTGCTAATGATAAAGCCCATAATCTAAGATATGATGCTGTATTAGAAATACATCCAAGGACATATTCAATAGCATGAATAGTATTAAAAATAATAATTTCCATTAATGAATTTCCTTCTTCATTATCTTCTTCTTCATCTTTTTTAATATTATTTTCATTATTATTTAATAAAATATTATTATCTAATGAATATTGATTATCATTAAAATCAGTTAATTCATCATCATTATTATCTATTTGTTCTAATAATGGTCTACTTTCTGGATGTGCTTTTTGTTGTTTTCTTAATTTAATATATAAAAAGATTGGTTTTGGAATAAACATAAGTAATAATGAAATAATGATAAGAATAAGTAATAAAGGTTCAACTATTTTTTGTCCTGTAAATATATAATTTTCATCAGTAACTCTTCCAAAATTTTGGAACATTTCAAGAAATACATTAGTTAACATTGGAGCAGGATCTTTATCTGGATTACACCATTTTAAAATTATAAGGAAACATAAATATCCAAATGAACAAATCATGAACATCATTTCTGGAATCCAATTAAAGAATATATTTAACCATTTTTTTTCATGTAAATGATTAAAAAATGATAATATAACACCAAATGTCATATGAAATACACCAATAAGAATAGATAATTTCATTTTTAATGAATTAGTATAATATAATTCATTATTTGATGATTTCCAAATAGGATCTATTCCAAAATAATAAACATATTGTTCATTACTTCTAACATATACATCACCTTCTATTTTATCCCATGACGTTCCAAAAATATCTATTGAAAATCCAAAAAATTCATTAAATACAATACCACAATATATTGCCATAAGTCCCATTCCAAGTAATAACCATCTAGCATCAAATAACATTAATGTAATTTCATCTAATGTTATTTTTTTTAATTTTTTTTGAAAAATTATAAAAATAAGTCCAAGACCAAATATAAAAATACCATGTCCTGCATCAGAAAACATTATTCCAAATAAAAATGGAAATGTAATAATATTTAACCATGCTGTATTAATTTCTCCATATCTTGGTGTACCATATGAATCAGTAAGATCTTGAAATGTTTGTGTAAATGAATTAGTTTTATTATATGTAGGAATTATTGCTTTTGGAGGTATTTGAATTGGTGAAAAAATAGGTGACATTGAATTTTGATCAAGTTCACTTAATTTAGTAACAATAATATCTAAATATTCTGATGGAAACCAACATTCTCCTCTTAATGTTGTTCCTCTATCAATTTTAAACATATTTAATGTAAAGAAAATCTTTCTTTCTCTATCAATAATATCTTTCCATCCTTTAATTTGTAATGCAATAGTTTTTAATAATTCTCTTTTTTCTTTAGTACTTCCTTCAAAAATTCCTGTTAATTGTTGTTTATTATTTAATGCTTCATCAACAAATTCTCTTCTTTCTTGTAGATCAATTGGAATATTAGTATAAATTCTAACTCCTGATGTTTGACAAATTTTATTAATTTTAAGTCCAAGATCATCTCCTTGATAAACAACTATAAAATTTCTTAATGATGATCCTTCAGTAAGATCCATTGATTTAATTAATACAAGTCCTCTAGAAACTCTCCAAATTAATCGTTGAACAGAATCATATTTACTTTTTTCAATAACTCCAATAACAAATTTTAATCCTCCAACAACAACATCATCTATATTTTCAAATAATAAATCTATATTTGATGAAACTAATAATCCTTCTTCAATCTTTTCTAAATCATTTTCTGTTGCAGTACAATCACTAATTATTTGTTTTAAATCTTTTTCTATACCATCTAATTTTAATTCAAGATTTTCAGTTGATTCTTTTTCAAAACTTTCAATTTCTCTATTTCTTCTAAATTTTAATCCTTTCATATCTTTACGCTCTTCTTCTTTTGTTATCATTTCATTAAAATATCTTATTTTTCTTTCAAGTTCATCACATCGTTTAAGTTCATTACAATATCTTCTATTAAATGTTAATTCTTTTTCATTTAAATCAACAAATTGAACTATTCCTAATTCTCCAATAAGTTCAATTGTTTCTTCTGCAACATTTACAGGAACAATTAATTGTCCATAAGAGACAGGTTGTGATCTTATTAAATCTCCCATATTAAATAAAGTAAATTATTTTTTTTTCTTTTCTTTTTTTTTTTTAATACCCTTTTTTTTTTGTACAAAAATACTTTTTTGTTTCTTGTTTTGTTCTTTTTATTTTTGTTCTTTCTTGTGATATATAACTTTATTATTTCTTTTGATTTCAAATGACAATATTCATTCTTAAAAGAAAAACATAAACTTGAGGAACTTTAAAAAAAAAAAAAAAGAAAAAGTCAAACCGATGCAAAAGTATATTCAAATCACATCAAATGGGGAATTTACATCAGTTCCTTTCAAAATTAATCGGTTAACAGTTTCATTTGGAAAAGAAGGAACACATGTTTTAATTCCAAGTATTGATTCTCATGCATTTGATTTAATATTTGTTAATCCAAAAGAATCAAAAGGGTTCCTTAAATCGTATACTACTGAACCTATAAAAATTAATCAAATGATAGTTACTGATATTGCAGAAATTGATAAAGGTGATGTGATTACTATTGGACAACTTTCTATGTTATATTATGTTGATCATCCTGATGTAGATTGGAGAAGAAGTAGTGAATTGAAAAGAGAATCATTGACAAATGAATTAAAAGGAAATTCACTCCCTCCTGCTGTGGAAGTTACAATGGTTCAATTCAAAAATCCGTTATTATCACTTCGTCCATCTTTGGAATCAACCCACCAACAAGAAGTTGTTAAAACTAATACTAACGAATTCTCTATAAAAGAAGATAGTCAAAAAAGTGATATATCATCTAATTCACAAACAACAATTAAAAGAAAAATACTCAATGAAGTAATTATTCATAGTAATTATGGTGAAGGAGATCAAAGACTTATTGAAAATAAAATAAAATCACCACCAAATGAAGAAGTAAATAATGAAATAAAAGAAGAAACAAAACCAGAAATACAAGATCAATCAAAAAACCAACCACAAAAAGTTGTTATTCTTCTTGGACAACATAGAGATTCACTACAAAAAAATGAAACAAATAATCCAAGAAAATCTCAAATTCAAGAAACAGAAGATTCAGAATCTATTACATTTAAATTAGGACCATTAGAAGATTCAAAAGAAGAACAAGAAATATATATCCATAAACAAGATTTGGAAGAATCTTATTCTCCATCTCTTTTCAATCAAGAATTAATTAATCAAGAAGACAAAGAATTAAATAAAGAATTTGAAAATGAAAGTGATACTGGTAGTAGTAGTAGTAATAATAATAATAAAGAAGAAGAAGAAGATAATGAAGAAATTCAAGAAGAAGAAGAAGGTAAACAAGAATTAAGTGATATGTCTAATATTGTAGATGAGAGTGATGATGAACAAATTGAGGATAGTATTAAAATAATGTCTATAGAAGATAGTAGAGCAACAGAACTTGAAGAAAAAGAACAACAATTAAAAGAAGCTAAAGAGTATTCTAAACAATTTGAAAGTAAAAAAGAAAAAATTAAAGTAAAAAAAGAAGAAATAATAGAAGATAAGTTTGAAGAACCAATAAAACGACGAACAGAAATTGGAATAAAAAATAAAAAATCAATTTCTTTTCGTAAAGGAATATCAGGAAATACATTTTATTTTGGAAATAATGATATATTATATGCTAAATTTGAAAAAGAAATTAAAATGTATGGAGGAATTAGTCATCAAGGATATCCAAATATTGATTGTAATCGTATTAGTAATGAAAATAGTTATCAAGAAAATAGTTTATTAGAAAGTAAAATATTTTATGTTTGTGAAAAAGGAAATGAAGGATTATTAATGCCATATTTATGTTGTATTCTTCAAAGAATTTATGTTATATCATCATCATATCTTGAAGATATAGTAACTCGAGAAATAGATTTTAATGATTATTTATTACCTATCTTTCCATTATCTTCTATTCAAAAAGGAAAATTATTACATGGATATAAAATAGATATGAATGCACTACCTAAACAACCAATTCACTTTGAATCATTTGATCCTAATGAACAAATGCAAATACCAAAATTTGCACCAAAAAAAACAAATCATTCTTATGGAAGAAGATTTACAGGTTCAGATAAAATGAAAAAAGAAAATGAAATTCATATAGAAAATTCATTTATTGAATTATTTATTAAAAAAATTGGAGGATTATTTATTGAAAAAAGTAGTGGAAGAAAAAATGCTTATGATTTCTATGTTGAATTTGTTCAAGAAAATAATGAAAATGAAAGAAAAAATACAAGAAGTAGTTTTAATCCAAGAACTGCTGGAAATTTTGTTGATTTAACATGGGTTTTTGAAATGTTAAAATCACAACACTTTATTCATCCAAGTGAATTTAGTTCTATACCACCACCAGAACATTCATTTATTTCAAGCTATGATAACTTTTAAATTCTTGTTACTTTTTATGTTTATTAATTTTGTTTTTGTTTTTTTTTAAAATAAAATAACAAAAAAAAAAAAAGAAAGAAAATTTAAAAATAAAATTAATTAGTTTTTTTTTTTTTTTTCATTATTAATTTATTATTGTTCAATGACTTATATCATAGTTACTCCTAAAAGAACACCTTCTATAACACCTTCATTACCTAAATTTTGTAATGAAAATGAATGGTTTTATTTCCATGAAATTAAACCATTAATAAAACAAACATTACCTATAATTAATAAATGTATGTCATATTTAATGCCAACAACTGAAGAAGAAAAATTGGAACCAAAAACATATAAATTTCAATTACAAGAGTTTGTTCTTCTTTAAGTATAATAAATATAAATATTTATATTAAAAGTGGAACATTTCAAGGAGTTTTACAATTAAATGGATGGTTTTGTAATGGAACAGAGATTAGATTTAATTTACCTCAATGGCAAAAATTCCCAATTTTTGCTAAAATTCGAGAGTCTCAAATATTACAAATGCAAGAATTTTATCGTCAATGTTGTATTATTTTAGATGAAACAAGTAAAATAAAAGAAAAATATACAGATTTAAATCAACTTATTAATATTATAACTAATATTATTAAATCATGTGCAAAAGCACTTAGACTTTTAGATAATCCTCCAAAGAAAGGACTTTTTCCAGAATATGAACCATCTTTATTATATCAAGAACCTCAACCACCATCAAATTGTATTTTTGAAATTTATATTCAACATAGAGAATTTATAATTAAAGTTTATGGTCTAGAAATAAAACAAATTGAATCTTTTACTTCAATTGAAACACAAAGAAATTCATTTCAATTAACTAGACCTGTAATTCAACAATCAAAATTAAATATTGGATTATATAAAAAACCTAAATCAACATTATTATCTAGATCACAAAGTGCTCAACCAGATGATTTTTTATTAACATCAATTGAATGGGGATGTGGAGAAGGAATGATGGGTTATCCTAAAGGAACTAAACCTATTATAATTCAAAATAAATATCCTACTGTTACATATTTATATAATAAATATGATGTTACTGTAATGGCTAAAAGAGAAGTTCATATTACTATTGAACAACTTGACTCAATTTATAATGATATTCATGAATTACAAATACAATGGACTCATGTTTTACATAATTTAAAACAATTAACTTTAATTTAAGAAGTATTCAATTTTAATATGTTTCTAAAGTATTAATAACTTTATGAGTTATTTCTATCAATGAAGGTATCATTTGAGATGCTTTTAAATAAACATCTTTAATAATTTGAATATTACATTTACATATAACAATATTCTCAATAATTAAATGACCAAAATTTGTTAATATTTCAATAATATATAATGGTTGTTTTATTAATAAAATTGTTTTAAATATTTGACTTGTTAATAATTGTAAATAAGGAAGATATAATGTTGAATCAATTGGGATTGTTTTAGAAACAAAAGCATACATATTTTTAATAACTACTTCTGAAGAATTTGTAAAAAGATGGAATGATTTCTTTGCAAATAAAGGAATAAAAGGAATTATATTTTGAGGAAGATATGTTAATGATTGAATCATAGCCCAAATAACTGATGTAATAGAATCATCATGAAATGTTGAAATCATTATATTAATATTTTCCATAAAAAAATTTAAATGTGAAATTATAAAAGAAGAACATCCATTCATAATATCTCCTAATAATCCATATGAATCTTGAATAATAGTTTTATGTAATTGTGGAAGAGTAATTTCAAATATTTTAAACATTTCATTTTGATGAGAATTAATAAATGAAATCATATATGAAGTATTTTTTTTATATAAACATTCAAATACTCTTAAACATGAACTAACAATATCAGTAGAATCTATAAATATTGTTATACATTGAAATGAAATATTAATTAATGAATTTATCATATCAATTGAAATAGAATGAAATAACATAATATTACTAAATAATGTAGTTAAACAAATATCTATAATATCTTCATTTTTATTATTTAGATAAATACATTGTATTAATTCATTTTGTATATTATTTTCCATTTCATTAGTTAAATTAGTACCTAATGTTTCTATAACTGAACTAATTAAATCACAAATATTTAATAATGGTTGACCTTTTAAATTTTTTATTGTAGGAACAATTAAATTAAAAAGTTGTTTTAATTTATCTTTAAATAATCCATTATTAATTAATTTAGTTAATGTTTGAAGAGAAATACATGAAATTGTATAATTATTATCTCCAATAATTTTTAATAAATAATTATATAATGAATTTTTAATTTCTGGTGATGTTCCAATAATTAATGTTGGTGTATTACCAATAAATTCAATAGCAATTCTTTTAATATATATATTTTCATTCATAATATTTTCTATTGGAATTATACAAAATCTTCCAAATCTATCAAATAAATCATTTTCATGATAATATGGTATTGATACATTAAGAATTCTAATTAATACTTCTATATTTCTCCAATCATTTTGTATTTGTTGTCTTTGTTCATAACATTGACACCATGCATTAATATATGTTCCAACAATATTTGAACTAAATGAATTATTAATTAATTCAAATAAACTAATTACTGAATTACGTACTGACATTTCATAATCATATAATTCATCATTATGAACTAAAACTTGTTCTTTTTGTCTTATTTGATCTTCTTCATTAATTTTATAAATAATTTCTTCTGTTAATAAACATCTTTCGAAAAATAATGGAATAAATTGAATTAAGAAAGGAAGTGTTTCTTCTGCAAATTCTGATGATAATGAAATAATAACTTCAATACATTCTGTAAAAACATGTTCACATTTATCATTTAATAATATTTGAACAATTCTTTGTATTTCTTTCATATATTTTGAAATTTCTTCAGTATAAATTTGAGGAAGAGAAACTAAAAATGAACATAATTTAATTCTATATTCATTATTATCATAAATTTCTGTACAAAATGTTTTTAATAATAATTCTAATGCATTAGATAAAAATGGTGCTTCAAAAAGAATAAGTTCAGTAAATGTATTTAATACTTTTGATTTTAAATTAATTGAAATTGAAGAAAAATATTGAAGAACTATTTCCATAATTTTTTCAATTATAGGATAAAATGATTTATCTAAACTCTCAAAATGATCTGTAATAATAATATCAAGAAGTTCTATTCCAAATTGTATTATTAATGTTTGTGTTGATTGTAATGAAGAATAAATAAATTGAATAATCATTTGACTACATAATGGACTTTTACAAAAACATATTGTTAAAATAGAATATCCTCCTTTCATTATATGTTGTTTCCCATCTCTTACTAATTTAAAAATTGTTTTAACTAATTCAATATAATCTGTATTACATCCATTTTCAATTGCTTGTTTAAGTAATAAGAAAATTATTGATAAATATACTTCATTTGTTGTATTAAGTAATAAATATTGTAAATATGTTGAATATTCTTCATAATGAGAAACAATATCTAATAATTGTAATACTTCATTTTGTCTTTGACAACTTAATGATGCTTCAACAAGTTGTTGAATGGTTTGTAGTTTGTTGTGATCTGGTTGAAATTCATTCATTTGTGATTTGATTATCTTTATCATTTCTTCACTTTCTTAATGTATAATTTACTTATAATACTTTTATTAAATTATAAAATTATTATATTAAAACTATATTAAAACTATATTAAAACTAATATTAATAATTTATTATTTTCATAAAAAATAAAAAATAAAAAGAATAAAAATAGAAAGAGAAGTAGTTTAAAATAGAACATTGAACTAAGAACTAGAAAGGAATTTCTGTTTTCATGGGATCAGTTGAAGAAATCATTAAAGAAAGAGAAAGATATAAGGAACTTAGTTTTCAATATAAGAAGAAAATTAATCAATTAAATTTACTAATTAAACAACTTGAAGACCAAATACAAATTGTTCAAGAAAAAACAAGAGAAAGAATGACACAATTAAAGGCTAATGAAAGTAGAATACTTGAAGCAGGTAAAAAAGAAGAACAAAGTGATAATATTACTATTTTAAAAGAAGAATTAAATGTATTATGCAAACAAACAAATAGTTATGTTTCTCTTTATCAAAAAAAGAAAGAAAATTATAAAAAAGGATTAAAAATTGTAAAAGAAGCATTTGAAGAAAGATTAAAAGAAATTTATACTATTGGGGATGATATAGATAAACGTATTAAAAGATCAAAAAGTATGCCATTTTTATTTTTTAAAGAAGAAGAAGAAGATTTTGAAGAAGATTTTGAAGAAATCAATGATGTAGAAATTATTGGAGAAGATGATGAACAAAGTCATGAAGATGATAATGAAAAGAAAAATAATATAGAAATAACAGAAATAAATCAATCAGAAAAATTATCTCAAACAAAAATTATTGAAACAACAAGAAAACCACCACATTCATTATTAATGTTTGCAACAAATTATCTTACAGAAAAAAAAAATCTTCATTTAGCAGAAGGAAATGCATTTATAAAATCACAAGAAAAATATGATGGAGTAGGTATTATTCCATTAGATTGTCCATGGTATATTTGTTATTTTATGGGAAGACCACAAGCTCATTTTGTTTGTACAACACAAAATGGACCATTATTATTATCATTAACAACAATTAATGATCAAATGGCACCACCAGGAAAAAAAGGTGGAGTGATGGCTATTTATCGATCAAAACAACAAGAAATTAAAAAAATTATTCCATTTGGACTTATTGGTAAAACAGAAAAACAAATTACTGTAAATCAATTAAAATCAATTGTTCCTATTGTTTTACAAAGTATGGAAATTAATATTAAACAACAATTTAAACCATTTAAAAAAGCTAAATTAGATATAGAATTAAAAAATTATGAAACATCTCAAGGAGGTATTGATTATAAATTTGGATTACTTTATTGTAAAAAAGGACAAACAACAGAACAAGAAATGTATGATAATACTGAAGATAATAATATATCTAATGAATATAATGATTTTATTAAACTTATTGGTAATATTATTGAATTAAAAGGACATAAAGGATTTAGAGCTGGACTTGATGTAAATTCAAATACTACAGGAATTAAAAGTGTATATACTATGTTTTATTCATCAGAAATAATGTTTCATGTAGCTACTATGTTACCTCATGTTATTCAAGATGAACAAAAAACTGAAAAAAAAAGACATATTGGAAATGATTTTTGTGTATTAATTTATAAAGAAGGTGATGAAATTGTTGATTTAAATTCTTTTAAATCTCATTTTAATAGTATTTTTGTTATTGTTAAAAAGATTCCTTCTGAACTTATTATTGATCATTCTACTCAATATCTTGTTGAAACTTGGAGAGGAAATGATGTTCCTGAATTTGAACCATATCTTCCAATTGAAGGTTCATATATTCCAAAAGAATTTATTAGAGAATATCTTCTTTCTACTATGATTAATGGACAAATTGCTTCTTATTCTGGTTCTGAAATGAAACCAAAAATGGTTCAAGCTAGAGATATTTGTTTGAAGAATATTGTTTCAACTAAATAATTCATTCTTTTAAATGCTTTTTCTTTTATTTTTTCCTTTCATTTGTTTTAGTTATATTGTGTTATTAATTTATTTTCTTTTGAATTAAATACTTAATGTTATTGTATTATCTATAAGTATTAAATATTATGAAATTTTGCTTTATAAAAAATAAAGGTAATGAATAATATTCAAAGTATCACTAACTGAACCAAAGAATAATCTAAAACCTAAAACATTAATTAAACCCTGAATTAATTTTCATTAAAAGAACTACTAATCCTACAATTCTGTTCTTTCATGCAATTTGTAGAACAGTATAAAGACCAATTAATTCAGTGGATAGAATTAAATAATTATAAACAAATATATAATAGTTTTACTGATGGATATACAACAAAAAGTGTTAATGAACATATTACTGGTCATGAACATGTCATGTTAATTATTGAAACAACAAATGGATTTGTGTTTGGTAGTTATAATGGAAAACGAATACCTTTAAAAACTGAAGCTAAAATTATTCCAACTGGTTATTTTGTTGAATGTGATGAAGATTATTTCTTATTTTCATTAAAAAATCCAACAAATAAAGCACCTTTGTTATGGAATTCACATACACATTCAAAAAGTTTATCTATTCATCCTGATCAACCTAGAGATCATTGTATTATTGGTACTGTATGTGGTTATTGGTTATATGAAGATCGTGCATTTATTTCTGATTGGTTTCATTCTAATTATCAAACATTAGATGGTCTTTTACCTGATAATAAAATTTTCACTGGAAATTGTTATCCACAGACTTTCCAAGTAAAACAATTAATTGGGTTAGAATGGTTCTAATAATCAAGTCACATAAGAATCTCTTTAATACTGTTTAAATAAAACAATTTTATTTTTTAAATTCAAGTTTCTTTTTCTATATTTTTGATAATTATATTGAAAATACTTTCAAATACACAAATTATTTAACTACTTTAAAACTCTTTTGATATTATTCATTGATGAATTTATTTATTATTTTTCTTTCAACAACATTATTTTCATAAAAGTTGTAAAAGATTGTTTGTTTTTGATTTCATCAATTTAATTGTTTTGAGACTCCATTCTATTTAAGTTAAATAACTTAATGGTAAATGACTAAATCATATAAGAGTTAGTTATATAATAAAATTGATTGAGGTTTATTTAAATAATACTAATTTAGTATTGTTAATTTCTGTGTTTATTAGTGTTCTTTCATTTTATTTGTAAAGATAAAAATCATCTCAATGGATTTGTTCTACTACAGATTATCTTTGTTCTTTTCACAAACATTATTGTTTTTTACAATGAAAAGATGTGAATTTCATGGAATTGCAAAGTCGTTTTAAAATTTAAATCATCAATGAATAAACAATGTGTTGATTTATTCATCAATAATAAGAAAGAAGAAGTTATTAAAAAGAGTGTATTTGATTTAATACTATGATTGTATTTTATTTTTATAGAGGTGGTATTATTGTTTTGTTCTTTTCATTGGTAATTATTGATTCATTCTGTTATTTATTTTTGATTTTATTCTTGCCTCTTCTTGTTAACTTTTATTGTTTCTTCGTCTAGTAATCAGTAATAATTACTATTCATCAAAATATATTGTTATTTTGATTATTGTAATGTTCAATTGAAATTTATGATTATTCAAATCACTTGTTATATCAAATTGTTAACATGTTCCTTAAAGACATTAAGAAGAAATAAAATAATAAAAAGTAGTTAATTAAGTATTAATAGAAATATCTTCTATTGTTCCTTGCTCAGGGGAGACTAATCCCATCCCTGAGCTTAAAAGTATTTGTTCTTCAACTTTTGGCTTATTCTTTGCTTTTAGTTGTTGAATTGTGAGAATTTTCTTTTCTCATTTTTGATGTGGAATAGAGTATTTTAGACATCCCTTATTTAAATATTCATTATTTAATTTCTATTTAATTTCGATGGGTTTAAATTTCTTCTTTTAAGAAGAAATAAAATAAATAAATATAAAATAAAATAAATAAAATAAAAAATAAATAAAAAAGAATAAAATAAATATTTTATTATATTTTTATTTATCTTTTATTCTTATTTCTTTTTATTATTTATTAAATTAACACAATGAATATGATTATTTCAAATAAAATAAAACAAGAATGAAATATGAACATTTTTATATTCATCACTTCATTTATTGATAGATGAAATGTTCGTTTATTGATTTTATTTTATATTCTTTTTTATTTTTTATATTTTAAATAATAATAATGAATAAAAATCATTTCATTTCAATTACAATAATTCGTTGTGGTGTGAAACGATCTGGATTTTGTTTTCCACAAAGTGCATTTGATATTCCTTTATATTCAAATGAACGTTGTTTACAAGATGATTCTGTTTTATAATTTTCTTTATAAACACAAATATCATCTCCATCCAACCCAAATGCAAATGCAAACAAACAACCATCTGATTGATTAAATAAAATAAATGTATACTTTGGATCATGAATATCAAATTTCATCATTCCTTGTATTCTTCTTTTTGATTCTAATGAAAATAAAAATGATTTTGGATCACTTGTCCAGTTCTAATT